GGAAGGTGGTGGATATCGTATTGCGATGAATGCCGGAGTACAGGTCAAAAAAGGTCAAGGAAAGTCATGAATCATTGGAGAAAGTATTATCAGACGAAAATTTAGTGGAGAGAATGTTACTTTTCTAACACGTGATGGGGAAACAGCGTATTCCAATTGCCTTCTATCTAAGTCAGGCTCTGTGAAGGATCTCCTAATTATTATGGGATGGGACAAATCACCTTGCTCCAGACGGTGTAAGTCTCACGGCATGATACGTCAGATATTGCATCAAGTGGTCCATGTTGTCTCTCAATGCTGTCAACGTCGTGCTCATATTGGCCACCTGCGTTTGCTGGGGCACTTCATGCGGTTCGTATCCTTCTTCTACAACCTTCTCAGAAATGCTCTTTCCTTGTTTCTTGTCCTTTCTCTCTACTAGATAAGATGGAATGCAAATGGACGGAGGGGGGAGAGGAATATGCAGGAACCCGAAACGTGACGTCGTCGGGGAATCCGTGTCTGCCGTGGGACTTGTCCAGTTCCCCAACGCTCGATTGGCCAAGATATCCAGAGGACGTGAGGAAAATGAATCACAACTTCTGTCGCAATCCGAAAGGGATAGGAACCAATCCATACTGCTATTATGAAGTGGGCACTCTCGAAGCTTGTGGCATCCCATTTTGCCCTTTTCCGCTATAAAGAAGTCTAGTCGGTGAAGGAAGCCACGAATGAAATGAAAACGTTTCGAAGATTCCGGGAGTCTCGGTGATATTCAATCATCCTCGGTAGATTTACGCCTTTTCGTATCTGGCAAGACTACCTCAGCTAGTTCTGGACCAACCAGGTCCAAATCGTAGATAGTGTCCCTGGTTCAGATCTTATGATCACAACTCTTAGTTTTCATGTTCTTTCTGTCTTTCTTATTTCTTTATTGGGCCATTTTCAAATCCACCTTTTAGTCGCTCTATTTATCGCCACAGCAAAGTGGGGAAGCATAGTATCGAAAGTTGTCAAATCCGTGTTTAACACTCCCGGGGAAGGTTTTTGCCATGACCTCGCTCGGTCTTAGAGTTGACACGAAGGACCCCACGAATAATGACTTTTCCGAGAGAAGCAGCAGCTTCAACTACATTTTCTTGCAATGCTATCTGGTCTATCACGTTGTCTTCATATGTTGTGTCGTTTCTTTAACCGTCCTGGTGGAATATGTGGTATTTTCAGTACTTCGAGTATAAAAAAAGAAACAAAAGTTTGAAAATGTATGTAATCCACCTGCAGGCTTATCTTCTTTACCACGCTATGTCGTTCCACAAGACGTTAAACACAAGTTGAACACGAGAAAGCCAAGCCTCTCTCGTCATGGAAATAGGCTTGGCTTTCCTGCTGTTTCCAGTGAAGTACTTGTAATGCCCTACATTCTTTTTCTTGCTCGCATCAATATCTGAACGAGCTCGTGAGAATGTAATGGCAGAATTGCAACCAATTCGTTTGCCTATTAATTATTTATGGACTAAGCTAAACGTATCGGAAGTGGTTTCCGATACAAGTACTTTGATAGAAGTTCTTTTCACATCTGCCTAGAGTCACAAGGTATTGTCCGTGAATAAGTTTGTTTCGTAAATCAAATGCTATCATTTCCAAGTTTTAAACCTATGATTTATTCGATGTGGGAGGAAAAGGCAGTTTCAGAGGGGATTGTCTTGTCATTACTTCTGAACTTCTTAATTTCGAAATTCGTTTTAGGCAGTTGTTGAAATGTGATTGGGATCTAAGGAGTTAATACTTTTCTGCTCTCGCCATTCTCATTGACAGGCATGTGCCCTGTAACTGCTCATTTTCATGTTTTTTTTGCATATTCGTCATATATTGGAATGAGAGATTCTAGTGAGAATGCAACGTCTTCCTTTTTTTTTAGTTTATCTTACGATCCGGAAATCCAGGCGTTGTGAATGTGTGCAGGATATTTACATTTAAATATATTGTCACTAGAGTGTCGTGATGAAAAAACAACGTATCACGACTCCCCAAGTTTAAAGACTCTTCACCCAGTTTATTGAACTTTGATCAGTTAATATATTGGTAAAATTTTATGCGTGATTCGGAAGAATGCAAACCATGAATCGAAAAATATATGTTTTCCAAGAGCAATATTCGTGCATGAGAGGGAAATGCGACCGGGAAATTTAAATTCAGCAATGCCCCGTATGACAGTGAAAAGTGACACGGGGAAAAGCCAGCTTGTCGGAAGCTGGAAGGTCAAGATATGCATACGTGGAATAAGAAAAGTCCCATGCGAAATCAAATGACTTAGTTGCTGACTCCATCAAGTTACACTATTCCACCGTGACACTATTGGAAGAATTTTACAAGAACAATTGGGTACGCTCTCCGGGAGTGACGACGGAGGTGACTTCATCTCCTCATTGACCCACTTCTGATGATAGTACCTGTAAGTACGTCAGCGTGAACTAGTTAGTCTCTGCTCTCAAAATCTCCGAAGCGGAAGATCGATCGCGAGACTGCCACAAGACTCCATTTTAAGGGTTTGCTTCCATCTTCTAAAAGTACCGAGATTACCTGTCCCAAGCATGCGAAAAAGGTTAAAGTTCCATCCACCTCGATTCCTATGGGCCAGCTTTCGAGAATCGCTTTGACCTCAGGTCTCCCCATGAGACCGGTTCAATGTTTCCCTTCCACCTGGAACCGATGGGAGGTCGCACGATTTACTCCCGAGTTGGTCCTACCTTCGGCATGCCACAATCATAGAAAACGGAGTAATTCATTTGTAACATCCCTTCTCGACGCCTACACCCCTTACCTCAAATAGAAACTAACGTTATTGTAGCAAAGGGGAAACCTAATATAAGGTGAGTGCATTCGTATCGTCTTCCTCGCGTGCCGGCAATAGTTCCGCCCCTCATCGAAACCGACCGCGTTGTTAAGAGGTGATGGCCATTCATGAAAATGTGTTATACATGTGGAGACAACTTCTCAGGGGAGGCATGACAAGCCCAGTACGTCTCGTACTAACGTCCTATTGACTGCTTCAATTAGAGGAATTAGTGCAATCAAAAACAGTTCAATTTAGGCATGCCTTGAACGATGTGAATTCATGAAGGACGTGAATTGGATATTCCCAAGAAAAGAGTTTAATGAACGCTTTTTCAGGATTCGTCCAATCAGCAATAAACGTGTTGGAAACGATCTTTACATCACTTAAATTGCATTTCGTCCCAGTGACGCCTGCTCCTGTGTACAAGGGTCGGAGAACATCATGTAGCTGTTTGGTCTGGTTAGAAATATTTCCTTCCCATTTCTGGGATAAGTCTGGTGGAGAAGCGTGCGGTAATACGGTCGTACTCCGGGACTCATCGACTCATTCCAGCCATATCAGGAATTGACCTGCTTCAGCCACTACTTTGGCGTCATCTAGCGTCGGTTGTGCGAACCTTTGCTTCAAGCCATTGTCAGATGGATACCATAGATATGCTGGAGGAAAAAGTATCTTTAACATTCATCGATCATCATTCAAAACCCGCTTGTTTTATTGATCTAACGGCACGTTAACTGAGGGCCAAGAAGCTGTTCATCAATATTGGACGTCTACAAAATTCCTTAAAAAAGAGGTTGAACGTCCTCGAGAGCGACTTTTGCATTGTCAAATGTGTAAAGCCAGCAGGTCTAATTTTGACCATGCTCATCCTCGGGACCCGATCATGTGATCATCGTGCCAAGAAAGGAGAGCAGAGCCGAAATGACTGTCCAACACTGAGCGAGACAACACAGAAGGTTGCCCCATCGGCGTGTGACGATTTCCTCTGGGCGGGGAAACTTCAGCGCCATGCTTCTCCGATCTTGCAGAGTGGTCTGTGACCTTGGCCTTGTGCATGTGACCTTCTTCCTGCGAAGTTGATGGGAATCGCTGCCTCGGTAATTATCTCTCGTAAAATCGATCATAACGGTTAAGGAATGAAAATAACGGAATGATTTCACTTCTCACGTGAACGTCCCCAAATGCACCCAATCGGTTCACAGTAAAAAAAAAAAAGAGGCCAACAGCATGAACTAGATGAAACGACCAATGTAAGCAAAGTAATATCAGAGCTCTCATGAAGAGTAACATCATCGGATACTCGATAAGAGAAGGGTTTCGAGGGAAAATAACACCTTCAGGAACTATCGACCCCAGACAGCATCTGCAGACGAAAGAGTTGCTCAGTTTTGAGGTAAGTTTCCACTCGGAAGGAGGAAGGTCGTTTCAAGCGATGTCCACGGGAAGGTCTTCCAGGTTCCCAGGAGAGTCTTCCATGTCCACGGGAAGGTCGTCGATGTCCACGACTATGTCCTCTCGGTCTGAATTCGTAGGATTCTCACTGAATGATTGGCAGGTCCTCCGGACAGAAACCGCATGGTTTCAACGCCAGAATGAGACTTTTAGAACGCAGTAAATATTAGCAACGGTTTAAAGTGATGAAAACTCTCAGATCCACGTGATGGTTTCATCTATGAAAAAGGTTAATGGGTATGATACCAATATGTGAAAAATGGAAAGCGGTTATCGGGTTCGTATCATTAATCTGTAGCTCGACGGCCTCAGGAAAGAAAGACTCAGAATTCACGATAGGGAACACGATAGCACGGAAGAAAAGCAAAATAGAAATTCAGTCGTACTCGTAAAGGGCGCCGATACATCAGCTGCCTAATATTGTCTCGCACTGAAGTCGACGCATCAAACTACGGGCACTACCCGAAGCTCGGAGAGTTCGCAATTCTAGAGAAATCTTAAACATCGCGGTTTCCAGTAACATTTCATTAACATAGAACATATTAGAAAACATAAATTAGAAGAGAGGTTACGTTTGAACTATCAACGTGTATTGGACCACTGTGCGAATTTCACATTTCAACGTGTTTCTCAATCCATCTAGCGATGCATCGAGTCATGTCTTATTTATAGAATTTCGCATATTCACATTTTGTGGATTGCAAGTTCCATTCCCGAACGTCAATGCGGACCTTTAAAAGAGTTCGCGAATGAAAGAGAAAATTGGCATATCACCCAAGGAGTCACGGTGAGTGTGTGCGAGAAGGGCTGCGGAGGAAGGACGCGAGGAGGACGTGCCACTCCTGCCGTGTGACAGGCGGACGCTGCTGATGAAGGTCCCTCCATTTCGGCGCATCTCCCTTGCATCCCCCCTCAGCGAGGATGTCTTCCGCTCATCCTCGCTGCTGGACTCCGAGCACGTGTTCTCATCTCGGGCGAGAAGCGGGGTCTGGACAGTCCGATTACAGCACGGGCACGCTTGCTTCCTCTTTGTCAGCCACGGGTCCACACACTCGGAGTGAAACGCTGAAATCACGTCAAGCAAACGATCATTTCGAGTGATTTTCATTTAACCAAAGGAATCTTTCTCTGGTAACCCCTAGTAATATGACACTTATTTAGGGTAGCCGTGTGATGAAGGAGGAGGTACTAGTTAATCTAAACTATCAAGGTTTGAAACGAAATGTAAAACCCAATCTCAACAACTGTTACTTTGAAGCTTAATTCATTCCTTTCCTCGATGTGCCTCGCCTTGAGAAATCCCGAGCTGGGGCACATTCGAGTACATCATATTGATATAACACCTTCCCCCCATAGGGCCCGACATTGCATGTCCATCGCTGTGAGATAAACGAAGCTCCTTTTGGGATCACATGCTCTATGAATCGCTTCTACGACTCTACTCTTCCCGACCTCATATTAATTTTAAACCACATGACCGCCTTCTGTTCCTTCGGTGTCTAACCCAGGAGACTGGATTGCATTTGCACTTTCCTTCCTGTATGAAATGAGCATCAAATAATCGATATAATACGTTTCCCTGTCCGCTGGAGTCCTGCACGGGTCGCTTTTTCTCACCCGACTCGACCCACGACCCGAGGGTCGTGCCGGGCTTTCCGGGCCAGTCTGCAGCCTGCTTAGGTCTCTAAGCTTCAGTTTTTAATGTCTCTGGGTCTTCCTTCTAAGCGACTCTGCTGGCTCTTCCGGCTGTCCCATGACGTCGCATTCGTGCCGGCCCGTGCATTGCTCTCACGGCGCTTCGATGGCAGCTGCTCGACCGATATCAGTAGCTCCTGGGAATTTTCGTCTGGAATGCCAACACGACGAGAGAAGGACGAGAATACTCCACGATTGTTCGGGAAGTGCCGCTCGAGTACCTTGCGGGAATGCCGGGGAATGTCACGAAATGGAGAAGCCTTCACTATTTAAGGGATGAACCAGGCAAAGCTGGGCGGGAAAAGTGGTCACCTGGCCCAAGGTGAGCAGTAAGAGAGCCTTTGCTTAAATGCTCCTTTATCCCCCCCCCCCCCCCCTTTAAATGAGGTTTGTGCGCTCGGACCTAAATCATGAAGATGATCCAACCCAGCACGATGTCCAACATACTTTCAACGGCTCCTCATCTGTTCGATTCATCACGTTGGATGGTAAAGACTGGGAAAGCTCGGAATTTTCAACCCATTCTTCATCCACGACAGGCGAAGGAAGGACTCGACGACAGACCATGTGAGCAAGGAAGGACCCGGAGCCTTTCTCCCTTCTCGTAGTCTTCGAGGCAGATGGCGCACGTGTCGCGGGTGTGGCCTTTCTTGTATGTCGCGGTCGGGATGTTCGCGAGACTCCGCGGCGGCAGGCAATGGCGACTGACCCGACTGCCCTCTCTCGTTCGCTTCACCAACTAACAGTTATTCGGGAGAATGCAAGAAATGTATGTCGTGAAAAATGTGGCATTTTCCCTACTTGGCTATCACAGGCACTGTTTCACTTAAGGTTGGATGACTTCATCTCGAGCTTGACAGAATACGAGGGCCACTCAATAAGTTATCTACCTGAATATGAAAGGGACGAGCAACAGGCCTGTGCCTGCTGTGACATGTCTCGACAGGTCTCGTGAGTGCCCCACCACTATACCAGCTCAGTGGCTCGAGTCCGTTCAAAGTGGTAGAGCATTAGATTTTTTTCCTCGAGTCTGTGTCATGGATTTGACGAAAGTCGAACATCGTTCAGTGATCAAATTCCTCACCAAAGAAGGNTGTTCAGAAATCTGCAGGAAAGATTATGGCCACTGTGTTTTGGGACGGCGAGGGACTACTGCTGCTCGAGTTCATGCCAGACGAGTGTACGATCACTGGCGATTCCTGTGCTACCACCGTGAAAAATTTACACGATGCCATCGAGGAAAAACGCAGAGGAAAGTTGTCAAGGGGGGTCCTTCTTCTCCATGACAACGCGCCCGTCCACAAATCATGGAAAGTTGAGGCAGCAGTGAGGGAGTGTGGCTTTCAGGAGCTGAACCATCCTCCCTACAGCCCGGATCTGGCTCCTAGTGACTGTTTTCTGTTCAGACACTTGAAAAAATTGTTGCGTGGAAAAAGATTTTCATGCAATGAAGAGCTGAAAGTTGCCGTTTCTGATTGGTTTGATGGACAAGAAGTTGACTTCTGTTCCCAGGAAATAAAATCCTTGGAATCAAAATGGAATAAGTGTGTTGAGTTAAAAGGTGACTACATTGAAAATTAAAGTGTTATTTTTCCCCTCGAATGTTTCTCTCTTATTCAGGTAGATAACATATTGAGTGACCCTCGTATCAATGAGCCTTTGACCTTAAACATGATGAAAGACCGGCCATGTTGTTACTACCACGCTGCGAAACGAAATCGTTCGTGATATTTACATTGTGATATGTAGACACTCATGAAAATGCATCATCTTCGTCTTTAAAATGTCCTTCAATCAGCGCCAGTCTAGCGTCTCAGACAAATAATTTTCATGACGGAAAGAAAATCTTGCATTAATTTCAGTGGAAGCCCTTACAAAATAAATAATATAGAATTTTATGCGGCTTTTGAAAAATAAAAATATTTAATGATTATTATAAACATCCTATAGCATTTTTGTTTACAAAATCTCATGGGATCTTATAGAATTCTTTCGTAGGGATATATTCGTCCTAAAGTGAAGCCCGGATGCTGGAGATGGTTACAAACTGAAATTTCGTGAACTGAGAGAGTTAGATCTCATCACCTAACGGATAAAGCAATCACAACCCTCTTATGGGGATCTAGGGCAACTTGTTTAACTCAGACCGTGTCTGTTTCATACTACGAGCTTCCTTTCACCACTGACTTGAACACATTCTGGAATAATAACTTTCTACATTGCCTAAATAGCTCGCGACACCTCGCACGTGACGGGCATTGCGACTTTCGGTGACTCGGAGTCAGCAGCTCCTCCGAGTCTGAGTCACGCTCGAGTGGGTCACGACTCGAGCGTTCCTCGTTCCTTTTCTCTTAACCCTTCTAGTATGTAGGAAGATGAACAGACCCAGAAGACGACGAAGAAGAGGAGGAGGAGGAGCGAGGCGACGGGGAGGGGAATCAGTAGCAATAGGAAGTTAGCCATGGGGAAATCGCCTGAATGAGGGTGGTCATGACTTGTGTCAGAGGGTCATTGCCTGTGTGAGCAATTTAAGCTGGCCAATGTTCAGCGTCGTTGTTTCACGAATATGGGGACATCGTGAAATTTTCGAATTTGACATATGATGCCGATCGAGGATGGGAAATTCGTCACCTTGCTATCCGGAACCTGTGCATAAATGCGAGGCAACAATCTGGGATTAACGAGTCACAAATTGGGATTAATATGAAGCAATATGCGATTTGTAGATATGATTAATTTGCCTGTTTTACTCTAGGATGAGTCATGGGTCATATGATCATGTCATGAGTCACACGTAACATGAGTCATTATTATCTCCCATCATTATTACTCCCTTTACTCCATGCCCATCCCAGAGATTAGACAGCATGAGATATCCCATGTATCTACAAAAAGGGGAATGGTTGGTTTTATCTGATGAAAAGTTGAAGCACTTGTTTCCTTTCTAGAAAATTCGTTCCGGTGATGTTCAATGTAATGGCAAAGATCGATAACTATCAGATATTGATCGATTGGAGTCGAAATATCGAAATTCGATAACCTCGTCGCGCGAACCCTATTCCATTTTGTTCGCCCTCAGAAATGTTGCACGAAAACGCAATTGCTGAAAGCCGCGAATGATCGAAACGCAATATCTTCATTCCAGTCGTTGAATTCACTCACGCGGGGATTCCAGCGAGCAGGACGTCTCTGTCAAAGCCGTTTCACGCAAGAGTAATCACCCGCGGGAGGAACAACGATCGAGGCGATTCGTGAGATTTGCATCATCGTAATTTAAATGTTAACGTGCCTACTCATAGATCGTGCCTACTCGTGCATCGTGTCTGCTCATACATCGTCCCTTCTCTCATCTCAGGAAAAGAGTAAACCGAAAGGGTAAATTTCTTTCCATGATCCACACCTTCCACATGGGCAAGGAATACATGCCACAACAGGTATTGGACACTGCACACGCGACCGGACAACCACAACAGGCAACCATGCAGGAAAACCTCGACCGACGCCTTCCCATTCGCCTTATCAACTCTGACTCGCGAATGCCAACCATCCGGGCGTCCTCCATCCCGATATCCACGAGATCAGAGTGTCGCGCTGGCGATATCGCATTGCCCGGTCGCTCCGGGGCGACTCGGCCAGCTCCCTCGTTCGTCGCTGTCCCATCGGCCCTCGAGGGCGGGTCGAGCCCGGGTTTTCGACCCGCTCGATCGTCGCGGCATTCCGCCGACAGAACCTCGACCCTTTTTCGTCATTTAATGTATTCATTTGGCGTTTCACCCTGAAGGAAGGAATACCCCCGAATATTGAGTAACAGGTGGTACCGAAACGTAAAAAATAAAATAATATTTACATAACTGATGCTTTCCCATGCTTCATCGGCAGTGCGAGACATGCGCGAATATTTGAAGCGCCAAACGAGAACGGAAGCAGGAAACGGCGGTCAGGTATCTCCGCTCTTCTTTCCCTAACTTTATCTCCTTCAGATAGAACTCTTGCGTTGGTTTTTTTTTTTCCTGATTAGAGTTTCGAAGACTTCGTCACCGGGGCATGTGCACACCCAGGAGAGGAAAGAACACGTCTCATTTTTTATTTATTAATCTAAGATCATCTTCCAAAACGATCGCATGTGCCCACCCGGATGAAGCGACGAGACGGATTTGAAACCAGGTGGATGTCCCACCTGGTTTCCAAGTTTTTTCCCGATTCCTCGGCCTTAAGAGAAGTTTCAGACTTTCTCCTACGTCGATTTTCGTCCGACACCGGTAAACAATGTCGTCGTCCGTTATCGTAAATGATTTTCGGAGAATAATTCCTTATCAGTTCCGTCTCTACAGGGTGACTCATGAGTCGCGCACCTTTGGTAATATCAATGGCCGTAGGAGAACTCAAACATGTGTTCAATGTACTGTATAAGATGGCAACGTTATTGTTGAATGCAAAAAAAAGGAGTCTCTTCCGTGATATTTGGAGCAACACTACGGCGATGGACATACGTCCGCGTATTGTTGCTCCGAGAGGGACGACATCTCCGATATTGACGGCATCATCGATACCTGCACGAAATTTTGGGTTTTCGCGTCGCGCGGGCTGCACAACAGGTTTGGTTCAAACCACTGTTCACCTGGTTGAAACTATTGTTCTGGTTAAAACCACTGTGGACCTGGTTGGAACCACTTTGTAACAGTGTCCCGAGACGGGTGAGCGATGATGTCGGGATGTACATCGCTCAATAACTCAATCCATTTTCGACATTAATTAATTCGATATTAGGTGGAAATACCGAATCGCCCTTTTTGTTGCCAGTGATCGAGTCGTTTCTCATCGTTGGTGTCCGTTTTTGGAAGGAACTGGGCGATCTCCATATCCTCGCTGCGTCATGCACCAATGGTACACCATGATGTTGAAAATATTATGATGAAACCATTTTGGGGAAACCTGCAACATTAAAGAAAGCACTCGATTTTGCTTAACCATCGCCCGACACACGACCAAAATTTGCCAAGGAATCAATCATGTCATTCAAGCCGAAATGTAAACATTTAAATTTCCGTTTCAATGGCATGAGTGATTCCTTGGCGTTCTTGGTTTAGGATTTGTCAGTTTGGATTACCATGGCACATTTTGAGGGGAAAAATTCCCACTCTGGTCACCCCTAACGCGCGGACCTACGATGCAAAGCCATTCTAGGTCATAGGCCAGGCCTACAAGGCTGCGCCTTGCCAGGCCATCATCTATTAATATCTAATACTTTAATTCGAAGAGGTCAAGAGTTGTTGTGGTTGTCATCCCCAAGGCGCGGGCCTACGATGCAATGCCATTCTGGGTCATAGGCCAGGCCTACAAGACTACGCCTTTCCAGGGCATCTTTTCTAATACTTTAATTCGAAGAGCCCGAGAGTTGTGGTGGTTGTCAACCCAGCGCGCGTGGCCAACAAGACTATGTCACTTCAGGCCAAAGTATAGCCCATTCACCTCTAAAAGCGCCAGGTCATGCAGGCTATGTTATTCTAGCCTATAAGCTTGGCCATCCAACGCTTTTAGCGCCAGGTCTATCGAGCTATATCAGTCTGAGCCATAGGCTTCATACTTAGCTGTGTTAATGAAAGGGTGGTAATAACTGAATCGACTACAAGTTCTCCATTTGAATACATTCTTTGCTAAAGTTTATTTTAGGTATTTATTTTTTCCGTTAAGTCAGGCGTGGCGGTTCGGGACATCACTTCCATGCAATAGTTTTCTGTTTGCGTGTCATGTCATGGCCGATTTATTTGAGTTCTCATAATTGATTAAATTAAAATAATAACGTAAGTTCTTTGTTTCATACGTCGCGCAAACGGGCCGCTCCTCCCATCAAAATGGTGGCAATTTTTGCGAGGTGAGGTTGAACGTGAAGAAAAAATGTTGGAGGTCCCACAGGACGGCGATGAGGCAGTTGTTGCTGGTTAAAAACGGTTTCTGCTGGCGCAGAAAGTACGTTTGCCAATGTAGTTGCGGTACGAAGTGATTAAATCGGTGCTAGCCCTAATGGCTAGAATCAGTGATGTACAGCAAGCAGATGTGCGTAGGGCCGCTCAGACTGCTGAACAGCAAGAGGCAGCGAATGCTGAGCTCCGGAATAAGAGAGCCGTGCAACCTGTTGACCAACTTGATGCAAGGAACACAGCACTCAGGTGTCGAAAGCCGGGGGGCGGCCGGGAATTCAGCCAGGACCTCCTGCTTGCCGGTCAGGTGTGCTACCATTACACCAGACGGAACTCGGGATGTTATGCCTTTCCATGCCATCTAAATCATTACAGTTGTTTGTCGCAGCGAGCACTGTCAGGCTGTACATTTTGATGTAGGGAGGAGGCATTTGTTTCACAGCGGAAAAATGCTCCTGCTGCAACTCACACTTTAGCACCAGTGAGCAACACTTTCAGAGCCTCGGGGTAATGTGGTGGCGAAGCATTTTCTGGAATTAGTCGCTAGCATTGTGCCGCGCATGCACTAAATTCCCTCAGGAAGGCGAAGAGCCCGTCGCGGTCCTCTGGGATGCCAGAGACACGGGCGTGCAGCACCGAAATCTTCTCTTCTGCGATTCCGATTAATCGACTCTTTATTGGTGCCACGTCTCGGTTGGAGGAACGCGATCGACCAGAGGCGGTCGGTTCGAACTGTATGGTGATTTTGGTTATTTGGCCCTTCGAGATCGAACTTGACTCCACTAATGTTTCGGAAATATGAATCGATCTCGAATCTATTTCAGCCAGGCAGACGCAAATATACTCTTGGATAACCTGGGCATTCGGATCCTTTTTCATGTTGGGCCAAATTTTTACCCTTTTTGTTGGGGAAATATGGCCAGGAATTAGGGATGATATGGCTGCTTCTCAAATAATAACCAATGTTGTGAAATGTACTTGAACAATGCTGAGGACCTTGAAAATAAAAATTGAGGATAAGCAATTGAAAAATAAATTAGTAAAAGTATGAAAGCCCAGAAAAGAAGTCGACTTCAGCTGTTAAATGAAAAGCAGGATCATAAGGACTATTGCTTTTTTTATTTGGCAGACTTTCGATGCAAAAGGAGTGATCACCCGGAGATCTAAGTAAACACGAATGCGAACTAAAATTTAATTTAGTGCGTGAAAAGTTGCAGTTTTTTTGATGGTATGCAGATGTGGCACAAAAAAAAACAAGTGAAAGAAATGCAATTTTTGTTAAGGGACATTTAACTACATTCAAATTTCGCGTCGCGAATTTTTCTGGAGCATACCCAGCGGTTGTCTGGGAGGAGATCAACGAATCTATTCGTTGAATATTTCACGCGGATGTCCAGTGGATCTCAGCGTGTCCTCTGTGGACGTCCAGTGGATTTCAGCGTGTCCTCTGCCGACGTCCAGCGGATGTTCATGGAATGGTTTCTTTCTGGCTGTGGTCTCACTCAAAATGAATTTTACACTGCCCATAGGTCAATGCTTTTATGGCATCGAGGATGTTTCCATATTACCTCAGAGTTGACCATATTCGCCCATTGTTGGCTCATTGTTGGCAAAGTTGACAACACTACTTGGAAACCGTCAGGGAATGGGCAAGAACTTTCCACAGCCGTTCTGGAAATGCTATCGAGCGACTTTTCAACAAAAGGGTTCCTGCTTGCATGCTGTTGCACAAATAGGACATAAACTCAAGGACACTTGGACATCCACTGTACATCCTCCTCGGACATCCTCTGGATGACTAAATGTCTCGTCCAAGGATAATCCTTGGACGTGTTCAATGGATGGCCTGTTGGACGTTTGTCTCTTTTGATACATTTTTGGATACTTTGGAGATTCCCTATGGAAAAGCCATTGGACGATCATCGAGGGACACAACATTAGTAATCTCCCAGGTGACAATGAAGCCAAATTTGCGTGCACATGAATAATGATGATAAGGGAAAGCTGCATTTTAGGGACGTTTATGATTTCACCCTCCCACGTCCTCAGAAGGAACCGGGAGAAAAGTGCTAGAAGGGAAAAATAGTCCTGAGTGGTTACTCTCGACTTTTCATCCTAATCTCTCGGTCAATGGGATTATTTTCCCTATTGCTTAGGGCGACGCGATTCGTAAGAGACGGGAATAGACGTACTTCACAAGGTGAACTCCACTTTCTCCATGCAATGTGTGAGAATTGCCTGGAGTCTCCTTGAGCTAGGTTACGTCTCTCAACAAATGTGTTGATTGGAACGACTTCCTTTCTTCGGCTTGCA